CCCGCCGCAGCTCGGCTCCAAGCCGCAGGGAGGGGCTGGCCAGAGGCCTGGAGGAGGGGGACAGGCGGGCTGGGGTGCGACTGGACGCCTGGGCTTTTGGGAGGAAGAGGGGCTGGGTCCAGACCTGACCAGGTGCCAAGACTCAAGGGTAGCTGGACGGGGCCCGGGGGCGCGGGCACTCACGCGAGCCCCTGGAGCCGGGCCGCCTCCTCCTGCATGCCCATGTCGCGCAGCAGGGCCGCGGTGAGCTCGGCGCCGTAGTCCTCGCGGTAGGAGGCCACCAGCTTGTCCGTGAGGTCCACGGCGTCCAGCATCGCGAGCGCGCCCCGCGGGATGTTCCGAAAACCTTCGCGCTGCTGCGCCGCGCCCAGCTTCAGCTTGAACTTCTTGAGCTCGTCGGCGGCCAGGCTCTCCAGCGCGTCCAGGATGGCGTCCCGCTTCCTCCCCATGGCTCGGGCCAGTCTCCTCTGAACCCCGACGGCCGCGCGAAGCCCCCCGGCCCGCCCCGGCCCGCAGCGGGCGTGGCTGTCCGGAGGAACGGGGCGTCCCAGGGCGGAGATTTTTCCAGGGGCTGGCACCGGAAGCCCCACGGGTCAATCCAGGGGCTCCTGGAAGCGGGCACCCAACGACAAACCCTTAGGGGAAGGGGGAGGTCGCCCCCAATTTGGTGCAACCACAGGCGTGGGGAGATGGCTGCTGCCGTTCTCCAGAAGGGGAAACTGAGGTTGGAGGCCATGCAGGCAGGACTGGAACCATCTGTCTCCAGGGCCATGCGCCTCCCAGTAAAGAGTGGCTTTGGCAGTAGGTATTAGGAGCTCCCCAACAACTGGTAGCCCACTGTGTGCTGGGAGGCTGATTGGGGTGTTTGCTAATTCTGCTTTAAGTATGGGTGAAGCCCAGGAATCAGACATCCTACACGCACCCCCTGAGGCCTGTGTGTGCCCACTTCATACCCCCGTGGTGGCGGAGACCCAGTCACATTGTGTTTGTCACCCTCACCAAGACTGTGCTGGGGCTGGCTGCTGAGGGGTCGGGTCAGGCCAGGGAGAACCTGACCTAAAGAGGCAAGCGCAGGGTCAGGCCTCTAGACGTCGGGACCAGCACTGGCAAGGGCCTGGAGACCTGCAGGTGGTTTGGGATAAGGCAAGATGCCAGCTGGGCTGGAGGAGGAGCTGGCATTGCGGCTGAGTCGTAGGGGGAGGGCTCAGGTGGGGGGCAGCAGCGCCGCTTCCTTCCGTCTCGCCCCCAGACTCAGCTCCCGCAGCAGAAGCTGCAGCTGCAGGAGGCATGCACGCGCAAGGAGAAGAGCGTGGCTGTGCTGGAGCACCAGCTGGCGGAGGTGGAGGTGAGGGCTCAGCGTGGCAGGGCCTGGGGACTGGGCGTCCAGGCTAGGGGTCCCCAGCCAAGTGCTTTGCCTGTCTGCCCCCACAGGAGACGGTGCGGCAGTTCCGGGGGGCGGTGGGGGAGCAGCTGGGCAAGATGCGGCTGTTCCTGGATGCGCTGGAGGGCTCCTTGGACCGGGAGGCCCAGCGTGTGCAGGGCGAGGCAGGGGCGGCCTTGCGGCGGGAGCTGGGGAGCCTGAACTCCTACCTGGAGCAGCTGCGGCAGATGGAGAAGGTGCTGGAGGAAGTGGCCGAGAAGCCTCAGACTGAGTTCCTCACGGTGAGCATGCGGTGACTTTTCTTCACTGCCCCTCAGCCGGGGTTCAGGTCCCAGATACCTCATCCCCTGGTCAGGCAGGGACCCTGAGGTCCAGAGGGGGCAGGGACAAGCCAGAGTCACACATGGAGGCGGGCGAGCCCCAGGCTGCTGTTACGGTTGTTTGGGTTGGGCACTGCACAAGGGCACTGTATGTGAGTGGCACCCTTCACATAACAGATGTTGCAGGTTTGTGTATTTCTTAGGACAATCTTCTACCACATAGAATTAGTTTCTTGAGGAAGGCGGTGCCTTTTTCTAATTTACACAGATAAAGCGCTAGGGGTGGCCTTGAATTCTGGGTTTCTTTTGGCTTTTCTGATTCTTCCTGGCCCCATATTCAGCATTCTTGGTCGACCCCCTCCTGAGAAGTATCCAGTGTCTTTCCTGCCTGCCTCACCTCCATTTTCTTTCTCTCTCTCCAGAAATACTGCCTGGTGACCAGCAGGTGAGATCTACCTGGCCCTGCCCCTTCCCCCAACCTGCCCTGGTCTTCAGGGACACTGGCTGGCTCACCTGTACTCCCAATATGCCAGCCTACTCCTACCAATTCCTCCGCAATTGCCTTGCACTTTGTTTTGAACATAGAAATGAACCTGACCTGGGTGTTCTCCTCAGGAACCTCCCAGGCAGAGGTGGGCAGGGACATAGGGATCACTGTGTGCTCAGTGCTGCCCCGG